GAAGACCAGGGCCTTCAAATCTATCAGGCCTGTCCGGGCGGGGAGGAGCCGGTGGTTCTCCCATGATGGATTTCGCCTTTTCATTTCTACGGGCTTGACGGCGACTCCTCCACCTCCTGAAAAGAAAGAATCCTGCAAACAGACCGAAAAAGGCTACAAGTCACCGGCACATCAGTCACTGCTTTTACTTATGTTCATCCCACACATATTCCAGGTCTTGACTCACCGAGAATCAGAAAGACGATCCCGGTCGTCCTACCGGCATTGTTCGAGCTGGTACTAGCTTGGGTAGGCGGTGGTGATGCGGTTGTTGCCGGGGCACCAGCCACTGACGAACTAGTCGTCGGTGATGAACTTGATGGCAGTGAAACAATGCTGGACGATAGCGTCGATGTCTCTGCAGCAAGAGGTACACTAGATGTCGAGGCATCTGTCACTCGAGGGATTGAGGTTGAAGATAGAACAACGCTCAACGTCGATGTTACTAGGGTTGATGGCTGCGTCGAGAAAGACTGCGGCGGCGGCGGCGGTGGTGGTAATGGGAGAAGGGAAGAAGATGGAAGAGTTGTTGTCGATGAAGGAGGAGCGGGCGCACTACTTGGCAGACTCGTAGTAGTTGCAGATGGTTGTGCTTGCGTCTGGGTCGCTGTCGCCGTGCTATGTTGCCCGTTTCTTCTCGTGCATTTTTTCTCATCATCGTCATCATCGCAATCGTCGTCCTTCTCATCTGGCTCATTCTCGTTTTCGTTGTCTTGCCTCGCTTGAAGAGCATCCTTGGTATCGGTATCGCCTCTCGTTCTTCTTCTAAGTAACTGTATCGTCCTTGTGAGTGGAGATCTCTTGATAGCATCCAACCTGCTCGTTTTTGGGTTGAGGGAACTTGAGATCGCACGAACCTCGACTCTGAGTGAAGACATTATGATAATTAGTCCCTAAGACCCAAAGCTACAATTTTTTCGGAATAATTCCACCACTGGCTTCTTTTGAACGATGTTTGTGGGGGTCTCCTTGATCGATCACGCCTGCATCGGTTCGCAACGTACTTATCACAGGCCTGCTGCACATGAAGTCGACCTAGAACAAATCAAAGTAGAGAGCATGCGATTTTGACTTGGCGAGACATCGATCACTTGGCCTCCTTTAAGCCCCTGGTGAGCGTTGTCTTGTCGTTTGCTTACAGCGGAAAACAACGTAGGGCCCTAGACGATTGTTTCAAAGCTCAGCTCTACCGGCTTCCGGGGCGTGAGGCGGACCACGGAAAGCTTGTTTTGGAGCCAAAAATAATTTGCCGTGAGTAATCCCCGCCCAATACTACGCTCGTGTTAATGACAACATCGGGTTGAAGAGTTGGGGTTGTTTCACTGCTCGGAACCCCGCATAGCTCCCGCGTCTTTTATTTGATGGTGACATAGCCCCTGAGGCCTCTCCTACAAGTTCCCGCGCCTGGCCTCACTATAGAATACGACATGACACGGGGACGGGTGTATCTCGGTAAGATGAGAGACACCTGGAGCTTAACCATGAGGCTCTTAGTGATTGATAACAGATTCAGATGAATTGCCGATTGGGGTGAGGCGAAGGCCTTTGGTGCCGCGCTCCAAAAGTTTGTACGCACCGACGATGTGTTTTACTCAGGTACCCTGCCTGTTTCTTTCTGCATGCGTTCTTAAGCAATATCATATCATTGTCAATGGTAAGCAGCATTGATACAGAACATGTGATCTCGTGAGTCAATCTTTTGGCTCTTGTAGACTTACACACAGCAAGAAAAGTCTATCCTAGCATAGCTATCATACATCCACGATTTTGTCTACAAAGACCTTCATGATTTGATTTGACCCTGTGTGATCTGTGGCACAGACGCTCACATGTGGTCGAGGAATTTGCACCTGAATGTTGAATATGAGGAAACCTCGCAGGCTTCTGGAGGAGAATACAGCGATAGAAGCATGACACCAATACAACTGAAGGTGAACAACTCGAAGTTACGTGTATGTTAAAATGAACATGACCTACAAAGCCTCCATCTTCAGTCCTGATGTCGCCTATCATAGAATGCTGCACGCTGTAGAAAAGTATACCCTGGGTCATGGAGCGAGTGTTCCAAATCTCCATTAATGACTTACCCCGTTTCCTCTGTCAAATACAAAGCACACAAATTTGGAGAAAAGTAGGTCGAATACGAATTGTTGCTAAAGTACAGAAGTTCACGATCCCACTGCCTGCCTTGATGTCGTAACAGAACATAGGTACTCCTTCCAATCAAAACAAGGTACCCAGCCTAGCATCGCTATGAAAGAATGTGATATGGCAGCACTATTCAATTTATTTCTTCCCTAAACCTGGCCTCCAAAGGTTCAAATAAAAAAAAGAGTGAAATGCCCGCAAACACCTGGTTCAATCGATGACGAAGGAGCCTAGTCATCCATGTCTGTCTGACCGGGGGCATCTACGAAACTTAGCATCATTCTGTTCATCCGAGTAATTGTCTTGTATAATTAACATACCATCGTCATCATCATCCATGTTCATAACGGCTGGTGGTGGCGGCGGCGGTGGATTTGGATTGGGTGGCGGATTGGGTGGATTGGGTGGAGGGTTTGGCGGGTTCGGTGGTGGATTAGGTGGATTGGGAGGCGGATTGGGAGGGTTAGGTGGTGGCGGGGGAGTTTGTTGAGGACGGGGAGCTGTTTTGCGTTAGAGAATGAACATCTAGCTTCTTCGAGGAAACTCACGATCATCGTTGTCATCGTCCTCATCCCTTTGAGGAGGACGGGGTGGTGGTTGGTTGTTATCAGGCCGGGGCGGACCATTCGGTGGTTTCGGTGCTTTGGTACCAGTCAGCAGTGAGATCATGACCGAGTCCTCATAATGTTGTTGCTACTCACGATCATCATCATCATCATCTCGAATGAAGAGTCCAGCATAAGGGGACAAATTGTTCCTCTGCTTGACGTGATGGCCCTTAGCGGAGACTTCATCTGACCTGGCCATCAGAGGTCGAGGAGGCAGAGCAATAGCTGAGCCAAAGGACTCTATAATTAGGAGCCCAATAAGAGCCTCTTTCCAAAGGTTAAGCATAATGATGAATATGTTTGCGGGAATGAGTAAGTTTCTTTGCGGTGCAAGCCTATTTGTGTGAGACACCAAAGAGACTGAGTTTTTAGTCTACGGAGAGAATGGGAATATCCATCCTCTTTATATCTGAAAAATATTGACCATGTTAGAAGGGCGCATGTTCTCTAATGAACAGGAGCGGCTGCGTACTTGCCATCATTAACAACGTTAGAGCTCATGTCCCGAAAATAGACCGGCTTCGTCCTAAGAAGGCATGACTTGACACAGCATCGACGGAGGGGCTCACTGCATGGAGAGTTCTCAAAGTTCACAGAATGGCGCGAGACGGCTGAGGCTTTCCAGACCGACGAAGGCCATGCGAAAGATGAGTGGACGATGCTCAGCTGCCAAGTCAATATGCCCAGCTTGATGAGTTGACTAGTTCCGTCTGCGCCATCTCGCAGCGAGGGTTGCGCACGTCATGTGAGTCCGTTCTCGCTTGTGCTTCAGATCTCTTCCGTGGTCATTGGACGATGCAACTTTGGTGGCTGATGTGAAGCAGGGACAAGGATCAGACACCGTCTAACGGCAAAGGGGCTCCTACCATAGGCTAGCTTGTCTCATGTCCTTCGAGAACCGTTGATGCAGGAATAGCTACCTATTGCACTATGGTTTTCATCTGAGCATGTATTGATCCTTGTTTGGACGATTGCGATGCGCTGGCACCATCAATATACAGAAACCTGCCACAGCCGAGTTCCATGTTAAAGTTAAGATACGACGGTAGTCGGCGTCCCAGAGTCCCGGTGCAAAAATTAATCAAAGCATCAACCAAGTATCATTCAACTAATTCCATTTCGATCATGATATCTGCCGAGCGATTCCAAGTTCAGCCGGCAGATGTTGTTGTGTCTGAAAGCTGGGGTTCTCCCTGAAACGCGATCAGTTGCTTGGAGGCCCCTCATGAGCTTGGAGAACTCTAAATAGGCCGGGTCAAAGTGCAGCAAGAGTTAATTCTGGTGTGTTAGTGAGAAAAAGCTCTTCGGCCGCTCCCGACACGCAATGTGATGAGTTTCTCTCCACATTTCCATGCCGTTGAGGGAACCCTAACCGCTAGCTCTTCTCCTAGCTTAGATCTTATCAAGTTTGATCGACTATTTTTCAAGCTTATTCGACTGTAGCAAACAACCCTGTTTCCCGTGCAGCTGATGAATTGATGATTGCAAGCTCAAACTACTACCCAAACAAAGTCTACGATCTTTTCAGCAGTTATCGCCCACCGACGTGACGCGTTGGGGGGCTCATCGCAGCTTTGATTTGACAGCACGGACAAAATTACGCTGACTCCTCTTCATGTATTGAAATACCGTGCGTACTTCATGCGGCGCAGCTTCTTGGCTGACCGTGATCGGCCGAATTAGAGTAGAGCATGCCTAAACTTTCGAATAACGTCAACACTCCGCTCTTTGAACAGACTTGTAAGCTACGAGGCTTGGCTCATTCTCAGCTATCATTACAACATTTGGAGATTCTGCATGGGACGATGGCGAAAAGTCCGGGGCAAGGTGGTCGTTCTCGTCACGCAGAATTTCTGATTCGAGCTAGGACATGGCATCTTGGCATCTGTTCGTCTTTTAAACTATAAATAATTTCTCCGCATCAATATAAACTTAAAGCAGCTTCCCTCAATATTCCGGGGGCGAGGAAGGTCCAATAATCTTATCTACATGTATGCATCGATGACGATGGCCGCGTTCTCATGTTGTGACTAGTACCGTAGCCTGCGAACCCAGTTGCTGACGTTTCTATTGTACAAGGTTTGCCTCAACCAAAGACTGCAAAGACTTCCCAGAGCCTTGCCTTGGCTTGGTTCCCACTATCTTTGCCGCCTTGCTCGGACTGATCCCACCGGAGCATTATTCACCAATATTTGAACAGGGTGTTTAGTAGTGGCGGCCCATATCCTGGCTCGCAGTAAACTGTGTTGACGTTCTCCATCTGTCGACCTGGGCCACAATTCTTGACCTTCGAAGTGGCGTCAGCCAGCCCCTGAATGGGTCTACCTGAGATGTTTCTGATTGCCAGGGCGAGATCAAGAGGCAGTAAGGGGTCCACGTACCCCTCTCGTGCTGCTGAAATCTTGATGTTGAGCCAGTTTGGAATCCATAGACGCCTGAGGTATGCATACTCTCCGTTTCTCAACTCGGTGCTTAGGTTGAGAATGTCGGTATACTTGAGGTCGTTGCTCGCGACGCTCACGATACTCTCAGGAAGAATGGACTGGAGAACGCTGTGCAGACGCACGCCGCTGGGATAGTACGTCGCGCTGTACGGGTTGAGAAGGCCAGTGCCGTAAAGCAGGAGGTATTTGAGTTCCTTGAAGGGAGCTAGCGATAAGATGGCAGACTCTTCGTCAAGTTCCATGCTGCGTCGAAAGATGTGGATGGTATGGAGTGTCTTTCTGTGTCTGAGCAACAATACCGACATCTCCCTAGGTGTGACCTCAAAGGGATAGGCCTCGGTGCCCTAAGCTTCATGTTCATAGATGTCGTACACGTTGTTTCTCTCTCTGCCCGAATCTATCAGAGCTGCTGAATAGTAAGAGAAGACCTCTAGGGTGCTACTCATGTTCAAGATACTTCTCATCTCCTTGTAGCCCAGGAAAATGTTCTGAGCGCCTAGATACCTGAGTTTCCTCAGCTTAGGTAATTCTCTGTCAACCAATTGGCATCGATCAAAGCAAAGCTCCTCCAATCGAGGGCTGGATAAAGGAATCATCAGCTCTTTGGCCGTGATAGGGTCCAAGAGCGACATGCCATCTTTGTGACCATCACGCCAACTATTCTCGTCATCATCGTCGCTATGTTTGATACGAAATCCCTTGAGGTTCGGCAAGGTCCATACATGGCTCTGTGCTTGGTCTCGAAGATGGGCAATGTGATCGAACAGCGGCCGCCAGACATTGTTGTCGCTAACATTGAGCATTATCAACTTGAGTAGCTCTATGTTGCGAGCTTTGAGGACAAGGACCTGAATCAAGATGCACACGGCTGCAGGACCCATGTGTTGCAGAAACTGAGCCGAGTTGAACGTGTGACCGTCGGCCTCAACCGTGTGAAGACGAGTTTTGAGACCCGTAGGAATCGGATCATATGTTTGAGTGTCATCTTCTCCCCATCCGTTAGGTCCGAAATCGCGATTCTCCATAATTTCGACTTCATGAACCATGATGGCGAGGACTGGGTTGTCGTTGATGGTGGCGACAAAGTTGGCTAGGACCAAAAACCCTTTGCTGCAGAACTTGGCTCCGGACCACCCCTGACAGAAATGACTGTAGAGCACAGGTTGCGCCAGGGCCTTGAGATGCTTCGAGACCAAGCACACATTGGCAAGAGTAGCCTGAGCTTCGCGATGATGCGTACCACTAGCCTGGAGGTTGAGACATGTGCTCTGAATGGTTTCGGAGATAGGAGGGCTGTAATGCTCACTGACAATCGCCTCAATGATAAGTCTCTGTATCTCTGTCGGGAGTGCTGGGAATCGGTGAAAGGGTTGAATCGGCATCGGCGCCTATCCCGTAGGCGGGGACGATTTGGATTGCTTGTTCATATTGAGGGCTAGCTTGCTCGCTGCCGTAGAAGGCGAAGTTCTAAGGATGTCTGTGTCTTTCAATGTCAAGAAGTGCATGAAGAACCGAGCTTAAGAGAAGAAGACTCACTACTTGGCAATGGCCTTCAATCGAGAGTGTCTCTCCTACCAATGAATTATTGGAAGAAGGCGGTGAGAGAGCGTGTTCCTGCGAGCGCAAATGCATTAGTCTCGCATTCAGAACGAGAAAGTATTTTCAGAGAGAAGGCCAATGGAGTCAATGGCGGCAAGTGTGGTCGAAATGAACAAGCGAATTTGTTTACCTGACAGAAGACGCGCAATGCCCTCCGGAACTAAGCCGAGGAAAGGCCAAGAGGCCAAGATGCTTTCCCTTGTGGAAGGACCAAAGACAATGGTGAAAAATGGTGGAATGGGGAATGGTGATGAAAGTGCTGGGTGGAATCGAAAGATTCTTGAAGGCCAGGAGGAGTTGCGGAAGTATGTGGGCACCTTGGCACTTGAACGCGGCGTCTCCTGAATACGTTGGGGTAAACATAGTGTATTCCACCTACTAGGCAAGACGTGGACTTTCGATCAAAAGATACTCAGGCGCTTAGCTGGCACAAGAACTACTACCCCTTTCCATTTCAACTTTTGTAACCCACATACTTCCGGGTATCTAATGAATAAGGGCTTTATCAGTTGATGCCTGCTTACTCCCTCGTCCCTGATGAAGTCAACACGCAGACTACAACTATCATCGAGATTGCTTTAGTGGGTATCAAAAGCTTCTATCGCGGGATTTTGCCACACTTTGAGCCATCCTGGGCGACTTTCTTGTATGACACCTGACGTAATGGTGTAATGAATACCCACAATATGGGAAGTGCGTGTAACTCATAGACATCTCGTGGGTGTTTGGTGCCACGTGACCACCAGAAGCAGATTGATAGCATAAATGTCAACATCACTATCGCGTCTCATAGCCTGAGGCACGTCTCAACAATACGCGTTTGAGGTGAAAGGTGAGCGTCGGGGGCAGGCTCGGAAGCACAAAGTCAAAGACAGGGACGTGAGAATCTGCCATCCGTTGGTTGGTACACCAACTGGTGCCTGGGCGGCCTTGCGATGGAACGAAAATCCATTGTTGAAAATTACTGAAAGCTACATTATCTTAGGTGCAGGTGGACTTGTGCATAACTACCGTTCCCTTGAGTTGAGAATTGTTACATGTACGTTTGATTTCTTTCGACATCCAGCCTGACGTTGACACTTAGCTTTGCAAATCCTTTATCGGGGACGGAAATTGACCTAGGCTGACTGTTTCACTTTATCCTAAGCTTTTACGTCCCTCACCTAGTCAGAAACCCCTTGACTCCAGCATCGATGTCATAAAACGGCCCCTTCGACATCTGGCCAGCAGTCTCCAATCTTTCCGTTGCTTTGCACAGCCAGGACCACGCTTCCCTCGCCATTCAGAGGGCTTCCGTCCCAAACGACAAAGTCGCCATGGACAGTGGTCTCGGCCAGTACATCTCCAGATCCGTCTGGAGCTCGAACATTGCCATTCAGCCCGAGTATCTCATCAAAGTTTGTTGACACAAGCTTGATGGCTTCTTTGTCCGCCAGTCCAGCGAACTTTGCCACCCACTGCGCCTCCTGGGCCAAACCATGGATCTTGGAGTCGCCTCTGACGGCGAGGGCGACTAGAACGCCGGCATCAATAAGTACTTGGGCAGGACTTGGTGAGAGAGGCGGGCCCGCAAGTGAGGATTTTTTCTCCCACCTATCGGGCGCACCCCTGTTTCCGGTCAGAATGACAGGGACCTGAGCTTCGCTGAGCTCCTTTGCGACCTAGGCGTCAATTGCTTCAGCTTTTTGTTCCTCCAAAATACAAACGATGCCTTACCAGAGGTGCTCCATGGCCGCCGAAGATGACAAACTTCACGGTGGGAAATTCTCGTTTCAGGAGAACAATCTGCGAGATATCATCCTGCAACAAATTAACTCTTTTCCAGTAAACTCTCCCAAATATTGGAGAAGAACCGACAAACCTCGTTCACTGTATATACAACGACTGGAAGAGAGCCATGCGAGGCGCGGTAATACACGCTACTTGGAGATTGGTCTTGACCCTGGCCCTCAAGAAGAATTTGACGCAGTCGCTCAACGCCGGCAGACACAGTCGGGGTATCATCGCCTGCGCGAGGATCAGTGAAAAAATAAGTACTTTTCAGAAGGTCAGTAACTTACCTTTGGCCTCTTGACCAATAGCAAAGTGTAGAGCCACTTCGTCCTTCCAAATCCCGCCTCCCAGGATTGTTGCGTTCTCACTTGTCCGCAAGCCGACACTCACACCCTGGAGAACACCGCCTCCAAAGATAGGAGCCGTGATCGCCCTTGTCACACCACCAATTCTTGCTCTGCCGAAGCCCCTTCCACCGAAATGAACACCATATTTGGCACTATGCAAGTGCTTCTGGGCATCGAGTCCATTCACCTTTGATCCTGGTGATCCGTCGCCTGTTGACGGCTCAGATGAAATGTCGAGAATGCCAAGATTATTGCCGAAAGCAATCAGACCAGGAGTAACGTATCCGTTGGCTAGTTTAATTTCCACAGTCTCGTCATGCTGAAGGGTAGATGAACACCTGGACTCGATATTCAGACAAGTGATGCGACCGTCAGAAACCACTAGGGCAAGGTCTTGCCCCTGTTCGACGGCCAAGGTAACCTCAGGGAGCTGATTCTCCAAAAGAGGTTTCTTTATGCCGGTGAAGAGAATGTTTGCTCCCTGAGCGGTCGCTTGATTACAAACATCCCGTTTCTTTGTCTGCAAAACATACGGGCGAGCCTCCGGCACAACATTATTCGCCGATGAAACCTGGGCTTCCAATCGTTGAAGGGAGTCTTTGATGTCGAGAACTTCCCTGCCATCGACATACACTTGAACGGGTGTAGCGCCAACCGAAAGAGGATGAGAATCCCAGACAACCAGGTCAGCATCATATCCAGGTTTTACGAAGCCAATTCGATGACCCTGGTAGATGGACTGTGCAGCGACAGAGGTCACAGATTGTAGAGCTTTGTTTTCGGACAAGCCGAATGAGTGGGCAACAGCAGCTTGGTACATGAGATACTTGGCATGATTGCTTTCACCAGTATGGTCCTACAACGAACACACGCAGAATTGTTAGTCAAAGACCATCAACGTAGCACGGAAACGTTAGTTACTGACCGACTTCAAAACAACGCGGATACCATGATCATCGAGAATCTTGGGGCCTCGAAGGTTTGCACCGTAGGCTTCATGCTTGAAGAGTGAGTTCTCGGCAAAGGTGGCAATGGTGATATTTCTGGCCAGTGTCAAGACGTCTTTCCGATCCCACAGGGTTAGATGGTACTTACTCTTCCTGCTTCTTGAGAAACTCGGGAACCTGCCAAGCTTCAAGAGCATGATGGAAGGCTTGTGGATGAACCCCGAACTCATGGAGCACATCGAGCATCCGCTCAAAGTCTTCGGGTTCATAGCAGTGGATGTTGACGTTGAACTCGCCTTTGAGAAGAGCCACCGTTGCCTCTAGTTCCAAGTCTTCCGGCCGCTCACCTACTTTGTCTACAAGTCGGGAAACTCGGCTTTGCTGCCATAAACCACCGGACTGGAGTTCTTGGGCACTTTGACACCAAGCTTCCTGCTTGGACTTGAGCTTCTGTGCCTTTTCCAAGTGCTGTCTCAGAAGCCAGGCATTGCCGAGTCGGGTATGCCCATACAGGTGCTTTGGGTTCTCGCCACACGCCATCTTAAGATATCGCTGACGACTCAATTCCGGAATCCCATGCTCGAGTAGCAATTCTTCGACAACGGGTTCGCCATCTTCACCAGGAAGCGGCAGATTCTTCACCAAGTACCCTTGACCACCAATAATGTTGCCAGACCCCGGCAAATTGAGAGAAGACGTGACACCGCCGGATGCAATGATCTCAATTGCAGGATCATATGGTTTGAAGCCGTCAATCGCACGGACGAAAGGAGTGATGGGGCCAAGTCCAGGCTTCTCGTTGACGTCTGCGATCGCTGAGACCGAAGAGAAAGGGAGCTCCAAATGGTGAGAATGGATGTCGACGAGACCCGGGGTAACAAATCTCCCTTTAACATCATACACATCCGTATTACTGGGAAAAGTCACCTCATCCTGAGTGTCGAACACTGACTTGATAACTCCCTGTTCAAACGCAATATCAACAGTCGCCGCAAGGACCTTCTCTCCGTCGAACAGAGTTGCATTACGAAGCACAATGGCGCGCTGCTGTCCAGACTTTGAGTTCCAGCGCGGATTTGACCGATTCGGCGAGGACGACTTTCGACTCGCGCTTCGCGCATTACTCTCGCCACACTTGCTCAGTCCTCTTGCGAACTGCTCTGATTGGTTGTATGAGGGCTCCTGAACAGCATTGCTGTAGTGAGACAAGCATAGTACAAAAGCGACAAGTCCCGCGAGAGTAATTAGACGTCCTCGGCGTCTCCGAATGAAGAAGCGTCGAGTTGGTGGCTGCGGTTGATAAGGAGGGGGGCTTGCTTCGAAAAGCTCATCGTTTTGGGCGCCCATCGTGACTTGGCTTCTGGCTTAACGATATGACGGGCCTTCCTACTCAAGAAAGATTCGTAGATAAAAGCAGATCTGATTTTAATCGAACTTCGCATCACATGTACTTAAGCTCGCTACAGCAACCGCTTCTCCTCAAGCACCTCGACTTGCTATCGGGTGAGTTTGTCCCGACGTCGGGGTGGGTTGGGGATAAGGCTTGGCAGCCCTTTATTCCCAGAGGCGTCAACGTGGAGATAAAGCACGTCAGGCGGAGGCGGCCCACATGGGAACTCGGCTGCATGATACGAGTAATCCCATCCTGGTCATGGAGATTGTGATTACCACCCTTTTCATAGCACATTCGAAGTATGTTGATTGGAGACACTGGCGCTCTGGGCGTAGGGCGTTATCGAAAACGAGATTTTCTCTTTAATTCAAGAAGTAAATTGTTATTGATAGATTCAGGCAGTCATCGTGAGATTTGCAACCGCCCAAATCACCAGATGCTACAGCTGTAGATCTGAAGTCCAGGATCAACATCCATCTACATTGTCGTTTCCATAACACTCAAAGCCCTATTCTCGATCGCTTCTAGAGCTGCGGCCTTTACCCGACTACAAGCATGTAGTCGGGTCTATCCCGACAAGTAGACCGGCTTCAAGTCCCGAACACCCCATCCCAGAGCCCGGAAAAAGGATGGACATCTGCGAACTATCAAGACGCCTTTCCGAGTAGGTCTCGTTCGCCGTAGCCGTCATTCTGGTCTCTGATGGCGCCACAAGGTACCCGCCCACTTCCCGTCGACGTTTTCCCTGCAAAATCCCGGCAATCTGGTGTCTAACGCGTCGAACGGGGACTTACAGCGGGAGGTCGATACGGATTAAGCATACTGGTACGTAACCAATCTGCTTTTACCGGAGCGGATTGTAAAAGCCGTTCAGATGTCAGCGCATTTAGAGGAACGACGGAAACCGAGACCGAACATCTTATAAGGTCCATAAGCATTTCAGGATATGGCGCAAGAGTCAGGAGTGTAATGGCATACTTCATTGGATGTGGACCTCGGTAGTGTGACGCCTTTGGGTCATTTCGCCCGAGATATCTTTGGTGTTGTACGCAAGCTGTGAGGAAAAGTTACCTTACTTGAATGCATGTCCGGCGAATCCTTTGCGGCGTCAGGATACGACTAACCTGGGACCACACCACTGTCAAAATCCTGAATGAACAGCTTGTTGCGCCAAGCAGACCAACGCGGGACTAGATGCGTCCTACTACCATCCACTTTTAGCTCAGAATACATCCAGGCAACGCAAAGACCCCAGACATTGACGCCACTGACAGCCGGCCCAGCTAAGGTCGAGGTTTTGTCCTGGATCAAGACGTCGATAAAGATAGGGTCTTTCGGACTCTGTTTGTCCCTATGCCGTCGGCTGTCTTCCTGGAGTGACGCATCCTCTTCTCAACCCCAAATCTTTTGTGCATGTTGATAATTGGACGTTTTGTCTAGTTAGTCACGGATCAATATGGGTACACTCAATGAGAAAACGGGAGACACCATCGACGTTGTCACACCCGGAAATGAAAACCTTCAGGTTTGACCTACTCTGACCGAATGCATAGATGAGTCAACCCTAACATTTACACAGAGGGAGAGTTTCGATGAAAAGGTTTCCATCGACGATGTAGCGAGGTATTTACTTGATTTCTACACCGACCTTTACACCAGACCATGTCAAGTCGCCGGGAAAGCTGACACTTCGCAGGCAACTCAATGCCACCCCCGAAGAAGTCCTCGAAGCCAGAGAACTTTCACGCTCCCTATCTCTCGAGGAGACCAAATCGGTATGCAGTCTTCGGGCCCCACCGTTGTACCTAGAATGCTTCACCCTCTAAACCATCTCGAAGTCAGCCGAGAGACTAGTGCAACAGCATGGTCTCGATCCCAACTTCCCGGCAGGAGCTCTTGAGCGTCTGAAGGAGTTCCTCGCCAACGAAGATATTCTCGCCAACCCGGATTCGCACAGTCGTGAAATCTCAGAGGCCAAGATCGAAGTTTCTCTGTTGACTTCCAACAGCCCGTACGCAGAGGTTCGCGCTGTAGTCGATCCGCATGACGATACTAGCATGCCAGTCGCCACGATCCGTGCCTGGACTATCGGTCTCTTTTTCGTCGTCTTCATCGCTTTCATCAACCAGCTCTTCAGTGTGCGTCAGCCTTCCATCACGTTGCGCGCGGAAGTCGTACAACTCCTCGCGTATCCAGTCGGCAAAGCTGCCGAAAAATGGCTTCCCGATGTTGGCTTCACGCTCTTTGGAGTTCGGCACAGTCTCAACCCTGGACCGTTTAACAAGAAAGAGCACATGCTCATTTCGATCATGGCAAGTGTTGGAAAGACTCTGCCGAGTTCCAGATACATCAGTGAGTTTTCTCCACAGACTACTCGGCACGTAATACGGCCGTCCATTACTAAGAAAACGTTAGTCTTTACGCAGTGGATGGACCGTTACTTTGGCCAGAAGTATGCCAAGTCCTTCAGCTACCAGATTCTTCTGGCTCTTTCAACCAATCTGATGGGATTCGGACTGGCAGGTCTATGTAGAAGGTTCTTGGTCTACCCATCTTTCTGCCTCTGGCCGGCCTCTCTGGTCACCATCGCTCTCAACAGCTCCTTGCACAACGGTATGATATTAATACTATACTAAACACATGATGAAGTTGGATGCTAATGGCTCCCACAGAGGCAAATCATCCCGTATCCGGTCCTTTTAAGAAGATCTACAACATGTCGCGATACCGATTCTTCATGGTTGCTTTCGCCGCGATGTTTGTGTGGTTCTGGTTCCCTGATTACATCTTCGGTGCACTTTCCCTGTTCAACTGGATCGCCTGGATTGCTCCCAATAACTTTACACTCACTGCCATTACTGGTGTTAACAAGGGTCTCGGCTTCAACCCCATCCCAACTTTTGACTGGAATGTTGCGACACACGTCGTTCAGCCTCTTGTGGTCCCTTTTCGTGTTACCTTCAACACCTTCATCGGCGTGTTCCTGGGCGGCATCACAATCATCGGACTCTACTGGACCAATGCGTACAACACCGCTTACCTTCCTATCAATTCGAATCTGATGTACAATCACTTCGGTGGTTCATACAATGTTTCAAAGATCTTGGATGGCAGAGGTTGGCTCGACGAAGCCAAGTACCAGGCGTACTCCCCTGTGTACCTCGCAGCTAGTAGTATCACGATGTACTACTACTTCTTCGCTGTCTATGCGGCTACCGTGTCCTATGCCATTCTCTATCATCGTCACGATATTGCACTTGGTTTCCGGAGTTTGTGGCGCAGCTTCAAGAAAGAGGCGTCGACTGATTTCAAGGATGTTCACACAAGGCTAATGTCCAATTACCCTGAAGGTATGTCTAAAGCTAACTTGGAAAATTAATTAGTGCTGAATTTCCTCTCAGTTCCCGAATGGTGGTATCTGATTCTCAATCTGGCGGCTATTGCTTTCGGTGTTGCGGCAGTTGCTGCATGGCCCACTGAGGTAAGTCAAACAACCCATATCGCTACTGTCGTTGCTGCTGAGCGACTAATCATTCTACCAGACGAGCGTCGGTGTTGTGTTCTTCGGCATTGCGCTTGCCCTGGTCTTTGTTATCCCAACAGGCATTATTTTCGCCACGACTGGAATGGAAGTCGAATTCAAGTAAGCAAACCTGACTTGCCCATGTTTTTAAGCTGTTCATATAAGATTAACATAGTATAGCGTCCTTGCGGAATTCATTGGAGGTGCCTGGGAGCCTGGCAATGCCTTGGCCATGAACTTCTTCAAGTGCTTCGGGTGAGTGAATAGCCTGCTGTTGTGTCCCACCTAAGATAGGGTTCAACAACTTACGATACTCGCAGTTATGTCACTACAGCTCATGCTCTTGACTTTGCCAATGACTTGAAGCTGGCTCACTACCTCAAGATCCCACAGAGGCACACCTTCGCCGCTCAAGTCGTTGCTGTCTTTGTCTCGGCATTTGTCTGTACTGGCGTTATGAACTTCCAGATTAGCAACATTCCAGATCTTTGCTCAACGTCAGTATACTGCGTAGCATCATACTTGCCATGGTCGGACGACTAACGTGAAAACCTTCCAACAGAAACCAAAAGGACCGTTTCACTTGCCCTGGCGTCAACACCTACTTCACTGCTGCGGTGCTGTTCGGTAGTCTGGGTGCCCGAAAGGTCTTTGGATCTGGTGGGATCTACACAGCCCTACTCTCAGCGTTCCCGGTCGGCTTTGCACTTCCTTTCGTTTTCTACTACTTCCAGCGCAAGTTTCCTCGTACCCACTGGTTCGCCAAGATTCACCCAGTGATGATCCTCAGCGGTGGCATCAGCTGGTCTCCTGTAAGCTTCCCCAGTGGTTGGTTTACGATTGCTTTCGTGGCTAACATCAAGTCAAGTACAACATCGCTTACATGTGGCCGGCCGTTCTGCCTGGATGGCTGAGCATGGTGTACCTCCGCCAGCGCTATCTTGCGTTCTGGTCAAAGTACAACTACGTCCTGTCGGCGGCTTTCTCGACTGCCATCGCCATTGCTGGTGTGATTATCTTCTTTGCCGTCAGTTATCACGGCTTTGAGATTAATTGGTGGGGCAACGACTCCGAGAGTGGATGCGAGTCTACGGCCTGCACGCTACTGAAGCTCCCTAAAGGCGAATATTTTGGACCGCGCGTTGGAACTTACGCTGGTTAGCGAGGTGTGAATTTGAATCCACTCATTGAGAGAATGCAAGCCATCCAGCGAGGCCGAGTTATTTGTACGGGCTCATACATACTGTGTAGCGAACCTTGTGTGCCACGGCATGCTAGCGAAATAGCAGTGGCTCTTCTCACAGCCTGAAGAGGGTCAGATCATTACTTTAGTTGTTGACCCGGCCTCACATCACCAAGGAAGATACTTGAAATATAAACATACCGTATCCTTCATCAATACGCGGCCTGCGATATACGAGGCCCATGCGGCTTGCAGGCGGTGAGGCGTCGAGCTTCAACCACATTCAGGCCATGACTCGGTCAGCTCACCGAAAGCTTAGCCCTCCCTCTGGCGAGATTACACTTTGACCCTGGCCGTCAACCAGAACGGGGGACGATGAAACTCTATCGGCGACCGCCAATCAGCACAGTTAAATGGTAACCGACTACTGGTTTCTAGGAAAGTTAGTTTAAGCCATCGCATACCTCCTTTGACGTCAGCCCCTCTTCTCCTCGATTCACAACACCTCTAGGTCGAGTCGAGTTGAAAGGGTCCGGCCAAGGTGTCGCTCAGCTCCACCCTCCCCTTCTGCCGGCAGAAATATAGCAGCAGCTCGCATTCGATATCTCGCGTCGCGCGCCTTTGCCGCGCCTCCGAAAGCCCCATTGTTCGAGCCCGGCGTGTCCGGCGGACTGTAAGGTCTCGTTAGAGTTCGTTGCCATGAGCTGTGGCCGTTCTCCACCCGGTACCTCCGGATCCAAGTCACGGCCATCCGTCCAAGCTAAGAAGAGTTGCACACCTTGCAGGTAAGTCCGATCATTTCGTCGCGGTACGACATAGGACGATGTAAGAATGACCCGGACTGACCTGGTCTCTAGGATCCATAGAGTCAAGTGTGATGAGACAAGGCCAGCTTGTCGACGGTGTAGCATTACAGGCAAGGTCTGCGATGGCTACGGCGGTGAGGGTGGCGGTCCAGCGGCCCGCAGACCCTCACTGCCACTTCTCCAGACCTCATCGGCATCTCCATCACGTTGCGACACACATGCAGGCTTAGCAGAGCTGAGCTGTACAGATAAACTTCACTTCGAGTGGTTCGTTAGCCGGACCACGAACCAACTGCCTGGCGTCTTCAACTCGTCGTTCTGGAAGACCTTGGTGCTTCAGGCCAGCTCGACCGAGCCTGCTATCCTCTATGCTATCCTCGCCCTGGGTGCGGCCCACGAGGCATCAAATATCGACGCATGCATCGTCAAACGGGAGCCGTCAAGTCCCGAGACAGCGGATCAACAGGAACACCTCAGCCTGCAGTATTACAACAAGTCCATTTACCACCTTCAGAAGCATCTACGCACGCCAAGCACAGAATCAATACGCGTCGTTCTAGTTGTCTGCACGGTCTACATATGCATGGAGTTCATGCAAAAGCGATACAAGACGGGATTCCTTCACTTCAGACACAGTCTTCAGCTTCTGGGAACCTTGTTGAGATCTTCTGCTCCTACATCATCATGCGACCCAGCAGATGACTGGTTCGTTGATGTCATACCTCGACTAGATATCCAAGCGACTCTTCTTACGAACGAGTTTTACCAAGGTGCCGGCACTAAACACACCTCATCCATATGGCCGCCAATGCCCCAGCTGTTTCAATCAGTTCGGGACGCTAGCCAAAGCCTCGACGGCCTCTTGTTCAGAGCGTACCAATTACAAAAAGACGGTGCCGCAGCTGGACCAGCAGAAGATGCAGCCGACATCTTTGAGCTGCTCGCTACACAGCAGACCCTTCGGAACGAGCTAGAATCGTGGATACAAGCCTTTGACATCTTCAAAGCCAGGACATGGAACTTTGTAACAGATCGAGAGAGGCTCGCCTACGGACCGCTGCCGATTTATCACACCATGGCATACATCATCACCAACACTTCTCTCAATCCTGGAAATGAGCTTATCTTTGACCTATACACGAGTCACTTTGCGTCGGTTGTAGCTTCGGCGAGGCAGCTCCTTGAGGCGACATCATCTGCAAACATGCCGACGCCTGCTGCTGAATCGTCCCCAGAGGATTTTACGCATCAAAATGAGCACGTCTCAGACACGGGCTTGGTTCCGCCGTTATTCTTCACAGCTGTCAAATGTCGCGTGCCCAGGATCAGGCGTCAGGCATTGGAACTTCTTCTAGCATCTCAACGGCAGGAAGGAATCTGGGATGCGATATTATCCGCGCGGATAGCAAAAGAAGTGATGGTTCTTGAAGAGCGGGGTCTCTATGAAGGCGATGTTGACGAGAAGAGGGCTTCTCCAGATTTTGTGATTCCGGTTCTGCCGGGGCCGCCCAGGATACACAAACTTTGGATCGAGGTGCCGGAGGAGCCACGCGGAGACATCCTGCTCAGCATTCAGAGGATCTTCCCAGAGGGCAAACGGGAGACCCTGGGAAGGAGGTTTCACGCAGAACATGATTATTGGACTTCTGTTCCTGTAACACTACGCGTCGCTAAGGTCACTGAGCAGGCCAAGTAGGGAAGGCCGTGCTCAGAAGCGGTCTGGAGAGAGGAGTCGAGAATACCCTTTGTACTATTATTGACCCAATGCGATCAGTGCCTCTTCTGAGACGAATACACATTCAGTGCATATCTGCAAACGTTTTTGGTCTGTCGTCTCCAACTTCTGCCTGGCCCATGCCTTGGTGGGAGGCCATCTCGTATCTGACATTCATGCTGCTGGCGGAAATTTCATACAAGCCATGCCCCTCAACTGGCAGTTCTGGTTGCCATCCAGGGTATTGGACATATCGATACTGCTGTTGCTCTCTCCCATCAAGGCTGTGCTTCGCATCTTGTGCGATTGGGGTTCTTGTCGCTTGTCGTCGACGCCACAAAAGCCACCCAATAGTGCCCATGCCGAACACTGCAGCAAAAGTAACTCCAACCGCAATGCCTGCTGCAGCTCCCGACGATAGGCCTTCCTTTTCCGTTGTCGGCAGTGATGTTGCTACAGAGGTATTGCTTGGTTGAGGTGTTACTTGGGCTTCGGTGATGTTGAAATAGTGGCATGTGACGCCCCAATTTGCGGGTTCTTTGCCTGGCCCAAGTAATTCGAAAAAGTAGAGGTTGCTGAATTTCGGATTAGGGAAGTCTTTTATGGAGACTTCCCAGTTGATTGACTTTGCGGAGGTGCTCGCTACAGCCGGGCGATCAATGTCAGCCACAGCAGCTCTCCCTAAGTTGTGGCTTTCCGTCGCTTCGCCCATTTGAAATCGGGCTTTAGAAGATCATGCAACTCACCTACGATATCGATGTAGTCTAAAGTGCTTCCGCCTCCTACCGATTCTTGCCATAATATCAACCTCGCAGAGTCGTAGTCCATGTCCCAGTGGAGATCTATAATGTTTCCTATTGTGTAAACGTTGTTGTCTCGGTAGTCATAGGCGAGACCTGGACCGGGTGGCCGGCGGAAACGGTTTTCGGCGGCGACAAATGCTATGAAGAACGAACAGAGACAAAAGCACAGGCTTGGGAGAGCCATGGCAGCAAGTTGGAATGTTTCTTGACGGAAACGACTGATATAATGCGTGACGCTATAGACGATTCACTGCGACAATGGGACTCGGATTTTAGCTAACTTCAGCTTGAACGAAGGAAGGGGATGAGACATCCAGGACCTAGCAGCATTTATCAAAACCATTCACCAAAGCAGAATCGCAGAGGATGCTTGACCCTGCTACCTAAAATAAGCGCTAACTATGTGCGACTAGGCGGTAACAATGAGATCCCACAGCCCCAACTACTACCCTGTACGAAGGATCTGCCCCCAAGGAATGCCAATGGCAAGACCTATCACACGCTGCAGCCGAGATGCGAGGCAGCAGTGCGGTCTCCCGAATTAGATGGTTTTCAGCCGCTCAGTCGATCTTGTTCGATTGGACGGCAAGCTAGGGGATTGAATGGGTATTTGAATAATCAAAGAAACATGTTTCTTTCGGAAGCTTGGCCCGATTCCCACACGTTCCACACTAGATAGCAGTCACTTTGCCCTAAGATGCAATGGTAAGCTCGGGATCTCCACATCAACAGCTTAAGATTCTGACCAAGCTTAATTAGACCATCTATCTCGTAACCCAGTTTTCTTAGGGAATTGAAGTCTCTGGAAGCCCAGGATTGAGTGCCTGCAGTGCCTTGCCCAACGCCAGTTGTGAACTTTTGGACGGTGATAGTGAGTTAGTCTGCCCGATTCGCCGAATCTCGCTAAAACCGCGCCTCTCTTGGCCCTGACCGAGCCTCGGCCAGATCGGTCGGAAACCTGAGAAGATAAATTTGAAATGTTTTTGCCTGGTCGTCGTGCTTTCTTATGGCGCCCGGCTTGCTGCACTGGCTATCGGTCCTCATGCTTTCATGCCGATAACGCGCCGGAAGAGCAATAGCAAAAACCTTCAATCTTTCACGTATGAGTAGTCTCGCTAATAATTCGAAGTATTTATTTTTACACGTCCAGCAGCCTGAAACAACGCTGTTGTTACACAGGGTTACCAAACTTATCCGTCTTCTTTGCCTTGGAGGTGAAGCACTCATCATCTGGCCCACAGCCCTGCCAGTTGAAAGATTCCCCAGGCGAGAAGCATGCACTGTCGCAATTCTGCTTCTTGCAAAGCCCATGCGCCTCATCACCGCCAACCCACCCATCATCTTTGGCACCGTTGACTGCTCCCTCTATCGCATGCCACTATTTCTCATCAGCAACCTAATTAGCCTAATGCAAAACCTTTGGAGGGGAAGAATGGTGCCGACGTACGTAAGGGCCGCTGTACGGCGCGCCGTGTAGCTCATCAGAAAACCAATTGCCTCCAGCTACAAGCTCTTGTTAGCGACGATGGAGTTTGATAGCGTGAAGGCCAATTCTCTCACCATAAACGAACCGTCCGTCGTACGCGTTGACAACTGCTTTTGTTGCATCGTCGTTGATCTGAACACCGACAAGACCCTGGTCGCTGATACAGGCGCAAAGGCGGTGCTTATCAGCGCTGACACGCGCCACCCTAGGATCAATTAGCTCTCAATTCCACTCGTCCTCGAAATGGCAGCATACACCAGCAGGCTGAGCAGGCAAAGATCTTTCAACAACATGATAGTCTTGGGCTACTAGTATGATATGTCAAGTCAATTACAAATGATTAAAAGATAGTCGGTATGACGGAAGCTGCAAACGAGAATTTGAAACCAAGTACGCGAGCTGGTTGTAGCGAGGGGAAGTCGGACTTGAAAAGTCATTCACATTTGTATGTACTAGGTACTCTCCTAAGCCTTACGTGCCCCCTTGAGCCCTCAATGGATGGCAGATGGCTGATAAGATATCGGCTTCCCCGACCCTTGGATGTGTGAAATGTCGCTTTCGTTAAGTCCTCAATATGTCGATGCATTCATGGATTGAAAATTACGGGGGATGTCATTTTTTCTTCCAATGCTCTATTAGTTAGTCATCCAAACTTTGTTTGATTATCAAATTAATGTACATTGCTTTTAAGTTTCCAGGCTACGTATTCCCGAGTTCTTGATAGGGAAAAGTGTTATCTCGCTTTCTGTAGAATAAGAGGGGCCTATGCCGAGTCATATCCTTCCCAGGAAGTCTGGGGAACAATCTATTCGGACTGAAGATCGCTGCCGCTCTACGACGGGCTTGTCCGGGAAATTGGGCCTTCTTTTTGAGCATGACTAGTGCCAAGGCATGACATCCCCTTGACGCTTGGATGATCTAAAAACAATGTGCTGTGAATGCTAACAGAGGTTGGTGGCTTCCAAACATGGCCTATTCCATTTGGTATTTGATCGTGGGGAAACCTGATTCAAAGTTTCTCGTCTGTCTTAACATCAGATTTTGGACTTTCTTGGTCTTATCTGTGTGGTCATAGTAAAAGAGCTAACTGCAAGCTACTGGCTCCTCAACTGCTATGAGCCAGACCATCTAATTCCAGGTAAACATCCTGCAAAAGATGCCACCAATTCAAGACGAGAGACTGTTATTAAGTCTTCTTGACCAACAACTAAGCTCGAGTGCTTATAGCTTGATTGATGGGTCTGTGTATGGCATGCCGCCTTTGCCTGTTCACTGAGCCAGCCTTATATATCAATGTCTTTGGTCAATCATTCATTGTCCTGGCACGCCCAAGCTCTCAACTTCGAAAACATCTCCATGACGTAGGCTCGAACGAGCATCAGCGCTGATAGACAACTGTGTATTTACCGACTGGTCTGATACATTCGATGAAGACCGCACGCTTATTGATGGCAGAAATGAACACTGGCACATATGTATTGAGAGGATGGGAGCTATGATGGTGAGGAACAAAAGTTGAGCGACATCAAGTGAGCTTCCCACCTAAGTCTTGACGACATTTGTTCTCACTTTCCAATACCGCCGGTCATTGCTCCCTTCAAAAGTAATGATCGCCAGTTGCGTGCCTCTCTTTTCCTTGCCAGACCGGCAGAAGCGCCTTAAGTATTTTAGGACTCAGTGGCCTCCAAATTACGCGTGCTTTGGGCAAACCACCCCTGGAACACGCATAGGTACTCCAATTGACAATTTCAGGAAGTTTAAGGTCCTGGAACTATACTACAACTCATACAATAAACTGACCTGTTCAGGCAGACCGCTTTTGGCTAGGTAGTGCGCGACTAGGTATATATATGAACTTGGCGCCTGCAGTGCATCATTTGTCTCTCGAGATGAGAGTTCGGTGCGAGTTCTTTGTGAAAAGGAGAGTGTCACCGGTTTGGGACGATGCAAGGGGCAGAAGTCTAGTGATGCAATAAAGGTAGCAAACTCTTTGACGTTGTACAATCACACAGATACCTTGAGCATTGTTCTACACAGCAATCATTCACCGTTTGTTCTCTTTAGATAGTGAAGTTTTCCAATACCTACAGAGCTTGGCTTAGAGAAAGTACTCAGTGTGGAAGATATCATCCCATACCTAAGCGGTGAAGTGAGTATTCCCAACATTCACTGTTACACGTGACGCCACCCCCATACCGGGTCTTTTCTTTAGTCTGCTTTCTCATATGTTTCTTCCTTCCCATTATTAGTATCTTTTAAGGAGGCTTCTGCCTGAGGTAAAATAGGTCATTTTTTCATAGATCTTCCGGGCGTTAGTATTCAGAAAAACGTGACCAGAGGATTCCTTCCAAATTCTCCCTTATAGCTTAGCCCGTTCCTCCTACTTCATTCTGCCGAACACACATCTCCTCTCTCACATCTACTTCCTTTCTCTCTTTATTAAGGAAAACTCGGTACTTCCCTCAAAACCCTCGATTCTCGACCACCTTACAACCACCCACATTAAGACCACCGACAAAGTTAAGGAAAACTCGTCATGATGACGGTCTCCCGCATCGTCTTCCAGGCAATCCTTGCCTTGGGTATTTTTTCCCTGGCTAGTTTCGCCCTGGCCAACGACCTTACCATCACCAAGGCTGACATCTTCCCCGCCATCGCCATCGAGGCCGGTCTTACCGCTCGCGATGACACGATCGCCCCTCACGACTGCGGCGATATTCTCAGGCGCGGCATCACCCCTCAGATCGACTGCTCCTACTCGGAAGAGAACTGTGGCTTCCAGGACGACATTGAATACATCATCCGCATCAAGCCTATTGGCAAGGTCAGCACCCACTGGTGCGGCATGATGCGGGCGCAGATCGCAAAGGAGACCAATTCCTATATTGAGGAGATCGTGATGAAGAAGTGCGACCGCACTTACGAGGCCAACGAGAATGGTAATGGCATGTGGCTTGTCCTCAACATGCAGCACATTCACTTTCTCGGTGATCGGCGCCTTGATGTCGAGCGGGCTATCAGGAACACCATGTGCCCTGGTGGTCCGAAGTTGGACTATTGGGTCAATGAGGGGTACATATCTCTTCCCCTTTCATACCCCCAGGCAACCTTGTTCAACTCTGTTGCTAACTTCTATTCATTACTAGTTGCTACCGTTCCAGCATCTGCAGCAAGCGCTACTGGAGTGTCGATAAGCGTCGCAGCCTGCCTGACGCCTTCGAGCAGATCTCTCACCCCAAGGGACGCGATGTCCTCAAGGTCCGCCACGAGATCGAGAAGCCTCATGTCACCGCCCTCCCCGCTACCAATATTGTCGCCACCCCTTAGCCGACTACATCCTCCACAACCAAGTAGAATCACATTGCCGAGAGTCTCACTTCGAACTTGCTCCTCAAAGACACTCCCACCGATCTTGAGGCTCCTCGACCCCAAGCTATCAATAATATTACTCATGGCCTCGACCACGACTTCGAATACGGAGGATGCTTCTACGTATCCAGGATCACTAAAGGAGCATCTTTGTCCTGAAATGCTCAGAGGCATGGGATTTGAGAAGCAGCAATGCCACTTCCTGGCTTCTGCTTCCGTCTGCGGTTTGTTGTGGAGTGCTAGCGGGTACAAACGTCTTCGAAGAACGATGTGAGGACTCTGGCTATGTTATCACAGTGTAGCTAGATAGGAATACAAATCGGCTCCCGTTGCGGTATCATCATCTAGTTCACCGACTTAATCATGCAGTAGTACGAAGCCTTCCGTGCCACACTTTACCGAGTGATATTGAAGGGTGTCCACTCGTGTAGAAGGAAACCAGAAAGACTACTCAGATCCACGACAGGGACTCTTGGGCAGTAGTTGAGCTTATGCAGACCGTATGACATCCCAATAAACTTTGGCTAATTTGAAATGCTCCGGGCTTAAGTGTCAGAACCCATGCTCACACGGCTATTTATCTCTGCGTAGTAGCATTGTGGGGCTCAACCTAGACGGAAATCGTTCGAATGGGAAGAGATCTCGTGGTCGCGCAGGCTCCCGCACATGGCAAGTCCTCGCGAGCTCTCAACTACGTCAACGTGAACCCTCCCACCGGCCTCTCAGACGTTTCCAAACTCAATATCAGAATGGTTCTTCTATATTCGGCAGGTCGATGCTGCAGTGTCCAGCTTTTATCTACCCTTGGATGTTCTCGGCGTGTTGTAGCTCACCCCCCGGTCTACCGGAAATTTGAATATCACGAGTACAAGGCCTTGTTCTTGGAAGAACTACATCAAAAAGAAAGACATCATATAAACGGCTTGGCAAAAAGAATATACAGTGAATAGAAGATCAATTCCCCAGGAACGCTCACAACCCCCCACCCACTCTAAAAAAAAATGAGAAAAAAAGGGTTGCTTCCCATCCATCCTCCCTCCACCCGTATGTTGACGCAAAGGTGACCCAGCCTTTTGAAAAAGAACCCTCAATCATTGCCAGCGGATTCCAGCCCGGTCGGGAGAAGAGAAAAAGTTCTTGTCTCCGACAAGAAGCCAACCCAAAAAAAAGAAGAGGAGTCAAGTCAGGAGACTTTACATCCTCACAGCCTTCTTCGACTTACTCCCCCCCGTAGAAAACGGCGCCAAAGGCGGCACGCTCTCTTTAGCCTTCTGCCTCGTCGTCAGATCACCGCCCCTCTTCTCCCCTTTACTCTTTGTGGAGAAAGGCGCCAGCGGCGGAACCTCCTCCTCGCCTCCCTTCTTCTTGCGCGCCTCGATGACCGCCTCGCGCTTCCTCGCGTCGGTGCCGAACGGGTTCAAGGGCGGAGGCGGGTCATTCTTGCCGGGCTTGTCGGCGCGTCGGGCGACGGCGGCCATGGCTTCCTCGTGGGCGAGTCCGGAGTGGAAGCGGATCGGGGAGCGCTTGATTTGCGAGATGACGGGTTTGCCAGCGTCTTCGCGCTTGATGAAGCTTACGACGCCGCCGATTGCGTCCGAGGCGCGGGCTTGAAGGCTTGCGATGGGGCTGGTAGTGGTTGTTAGTTGAGGAGTCATGTGGAAGACTTGTGAGGAGTCTTACCCGGACTCAACGGGCACGGCACCAACGCCTGCAACCGCGGCGGCGACGACGGCAACAGCAGAGAACTTCATCTTGTCTAATTCCAACGCTTCGTATCTTCGTGTTCGTGGTGTAAACCTTGTTGAAACTCGTTCCCGCCGTAGTGGAATGTGTGTTCGAGCCGGCGATGACGTTGAATCGTATAGAGTAGTTGTATAGTATGTGAATAATTCGAAAGGAAATGATCGACGCTTGGTCTATTCGATAGTTGGATACTGAAAGTGTAAGTTGTAGTTGTCAAGTAAAAGTGATCGTCCGAATTCAGACGCAGCAACCAAAAGAAAAAGGGCGCGGAAGAAAGACCGGACGTCCACGACTCTTTTATCTATCTCTTCTCAACCACGCGTCCGGTCCCAGACCACCGCCTCCTTTCCCCATATTCTTCAACTCTCCACATGAGAAATCCAGACATCCCGGACAATTGCGTGAGCTGACAGGCAGCTTACACTTCAACCCTTGTCCGTCAACACCGGCCACCCGGCAGCCCCACGGCTTTGCCTCGCATCACAACGTGGCGCGCCCGCTCGATGCCACCCCTGGTCTGGTATCACATTCACTTCTTGCCCTACCCAACTACCTCATATTCCACCTCGGCGCGACGATCGTATAAGAAAGAGTCCGGGGATGATGGCTGTTCGTCTTGTACGCAATAAGCAGCGCACATCTAACTTCCACAAGCGCGTTTCCACAGTTTCAGCCCGCGACAATCCACACGAACCACGGGCCAACATCCGGTACAGACGGCGGGGACTTGCTCTCGGGGTTTTCTCTTTCACCTCGAATCGTCTCTATCTACGGGAATCTCTGCTCGGTGACTTGAATTCTCCGCCAGTCCACTCGGTTTCCCCTCCCCATCCCACCGGGCTGGAATTGGATTGTAGCCTTGAACTTGGGCAGACTTTTGAGGCTCCTGTTCCCCAACTCTGCCCAATACCACGCGCGAGAATACCGGCTTCCATTTTCAGCTGATGTCGTCTCGTCTCGTCTCATCTTCTCTTGTCCTTCCAGCTCCAATCAGCTCACCTTCGTAAGACAAGGTCATGCTGTTCAATTCCGCTCAGCATCGCCCAACCATCCGGTCATCCCGACTCAAGATTCGACGGCTCTCAGCTGCTGCTCGACTCGCGACGTCTTATCCAGAATCACTCGCCATGCGGTTGTCGCAAAACGGCACACAGCCACCGCCCTCCTCAACCTGATTCAGTTTTGCTCCCCTTTGTTCCCCCCACGACTCGCAGAGTGAAGAGTTGCCATTCTTGGCAGAGTCCATTCCATACTCTCTACACTTGGCCACGGCTCTGTCCAAAAACAGCAACATGGAAAATCGGTACCAAGAGAACTTCCTCCGTCTCCCAGACCCTGATCCGTCCGACCACTTCATCTGAAGCGATGCCGTAATCCGGTTCTACCGAGCCTTTGCGCCATCCACCAGAGTACTCAGCAACTTCTAATTCCTCCCATCTCTTCTTTTATCCGCCAATTTTTCCACTAGCCTTCTTTCTCACTGGACCCCTCATCTTAACCGAGTTAAACGAAGACATCGGGCTTTTTCGATAAACTCTGCCGTCTGCCTCAATGACGAACAGTGTGTCACAAACCAAGATTTAAACCTCAACTCTCTTTATTTGACAATCGAGGGATCGAGATCTGTTGCTCTAAGCGTCCATGGAATTATAGCTCGATCCGAACTCACGTGCCCGAGCGCGCGTATCCCCTCCAAGAAGCCAAGAAAGCAAAAAGGCCAGAAAACCGAGAAACCTCACCAAACCGAGTCGTGTTGTGACAAGAGTTATGAGAGTGTGTGTTTCTCAACTCAAACTGCGCCTACTTGACCTTCACTTTCTGAACGAGAAAGACATCAGACCTCAGACGTTGTGTAGACACCCCTACCCTGATCCCTCAACCCATCCCCATCCTTCCAGAATATTCGCGAATCCGACTTGACGTGCCCAGCCAAGCCCAAGAACTCTCCAAGAACCCCCTTCAACCAGCAATGTCCCCGGTCTCGATCCTCTACAATCATGCAACCTCACGAACGCCCAGCTCAAGCCCAAAGTTGCCTTGATCCCTCACCTAGT